CCGATAGCGGTATAGTAGCGGACCGAACAGGGGCGTTATGAAAAAAATGTTACGCGTGAGTTCACAAGACTTGGCAGGCGAAGAAGAATGTATAAAGCAACTTTGTCAACAAACCGCGCCAGCCACTTACACCCTCTGCCGCTTCTGCTTCTCTTAACTTGATCATGACATCGGGTCCTGACGAGGTAGATGCAATCCACATCTACTATCACTTAAAAACAAAGGGAACCAACGTTGCTCGCGCAAGAGTCGGACGAAGCTAATACAACAGACAGGGAAAAGCGACACAGCACTTTTGTCAACAAACTGGACACGTCTGCCCCGGGCATATTTTGACTGCAGCGGGTCACGCGATAACTACGTTGGTCAGGTTAGAGCACAACACACAATGAGCGGTCCGCGTACCTCATGGGGCGTGCGATTACAAGTTTGGGCGCTGGCCACTTGCGTCTAATCTCGGCATCAGATAACCCACCGTTGAATGGGGGAGGGAAGAGATAGAGGGAATAGGGTTGATGCTGATGACCCTACACACTCCTACCTATAAACAGGCTGACGCGCCTTGAAGTAACCACGACGAGCTAAACATCGTGGCTTGAGAGTTCGACAACTGACGAGGTCACGTGGTCCTCTGGAAACTGATAATGACTTCTTTTGGATGTGGCATCCGAGTGACTTTGTGGTGACTGACTCCACATAGGCGAGCATGTCCGAAGGCTCGCTGCCCCCAACGAGTACTTCTGCACTTAAGGCGCCCTCTCTGCAACAGCCAATCAGGTCCCGCAAAGGCTAGCCTCTCACGGTGGCGAATAGAACGCATGCAAACCTTGGTCGATGCAGTCTTTCCGGCCAATAACATTTGAGGCAAACCAGCAAATACCGTTCTCGCTGCTGTCTGCTGCTGAAAACCGCACTTAGATCGCGGCTGGCGCTCCTGCTGGTCGTGAGCTATCCAAGTCAATCTACTCTCATCTATTCTCCTCCTCCTTGTGTACACAATACATTCTTCCTACTACTCTGGCCTTTACGGACTTCCTTTTCCTACATTAAGTAGCCATGGTCCGAAGATCGCAGTTGCACGGTTTAACTTAATTAACCCCCTGCAATAACTTTTCTCGTTCTGTGTATCGCGGACCAGGTCGTGTGTAGCCCGCGTAAACGGACTATTACGCTTGTTGTCGTCCCCGTCTCCACTCCACTTGCCCCTGGATCCATAAGGGAGGATGTTATTCAAGTCTGTTACCAGTAT